AGGTGTTTTGGTTCCCTATGGAAACTAAAAGATGGCATCAAGGGGGAACTGAGGGATTGAACTCTGACCACCATCTTTATTCTAAATTTCTGCCTGAGGGGCCTGTCACATCCATCTTAACATTCCTTTCTGCTAATCCAAGAATCTCTGAATCCACCTAATACTCACCCCCCTACTTCAGGACCACCTTTTGGACCAGCACAATGTATAATCTCCACGTACTGATTTTCAATTTTGCCTGCCTGAATTATACCCCTGCCTTTAAAAATCCTGGCTTGCAAACCATTGGGGAGGCCAGGTCTTAAGCATTAGCCCTGTTGCAATTCTTGGCTTCAATGTCTGGCTTTACTGTGGCAGGTGAGCAGATCCCAGTTTGGTTTGGTAACAAGTGCTGCTATGAACATACTTTTTACATGTCATTTATAATATCTATTGGGTATATACCCAGGAGAGGAGATGCTGGGTCATGGGGCATATACATATGTCAAGCTTTAGAAGATACTGCCAAACAATGTTTCAAAGTGCTTATACCAATTTATACTTCCACCATTTGCTCTACGGATGTACCAATACTTGGTATTGTTAGCCCCCCCTTTTTTTACATTTCTTTCAAAATCTCTGAAATAATCACGGAACCAACTTCTGTTACAAAGTGACATTCCCATTCTACAGGCATTCATTATTGTACCTCATTCCAATGGCATCTTCTGATTACTTAGATATTTGTACTTCTTTGCACTTGTTTATCTGGCTCTAACACGTCTACTGGTTTTTGTACTTTCTTATTATGTTGCATTGATATCTAGGAAGCACTGGAGAAGGAAATGTGTGCTAAGTAAGGGATCCCTAGAATAACATGCTCTCCTCCATCAACAAAGAGATTTAGGAAAATGTTAAAGTAGGAGAAAGACAAGACTATTTCAACGAACTTTTCCAGAATGGACTTTATAACCTGCTAAAGGAATCAACTGACCTTTTCAAAAATACCACCTTTACGAAAGGGACAGAGAGAGAGTCTAGAGGGAAGGAGGGTGGGAGGGAAAGAGAGACTGACTTCACATGTAGAAATAAGGCCAGCTACATTTCCCACTGAATGAAAAAGAATCTCCAAGCTAATCTGCTAACGGCATTGGCAGGCAGGCAGGAATTTAACACTGAGGCATGAATCTAAAATCAACAAACTGCACTAATTTGCTAAACCTCAAGAAAAACCTAGTAGTTAATTTTCTGTTTTTGGTGAACTGTAAATGGAAGCAATCATAAAAATACCTACTAAAACAGTTAAAACAAAAACTAAACATTTGTGTTTTCTAAACTGTCAAACTATGAAATAGGCAAAGATTTTAAAAAGTAAAATGCCCATGGTTTGAAAAGGTATAAACCAGCACTATTTTTCAGAAGGTCAATTTGGCAACATGGATCAAAAAACGTCCCTCTGGCCCACCCATTTCAGGAAGGTATCTATAGAAATTTTACAACAAGAACAATCATTGTAGTAGTATTTAAAATAGCAAGCAATTGCAAACAATCTGAGTGCTTCCAAAAGGGGGATTTGTTAAAGGTTGATAAATCTTTCCTTATGAAGAAATATTCAAATTTCTTTTGGTTGCAGAACCCTTTTTATGCCCCAAATGAAATCTAAGCTACAACCTAAATCTAAGAGAAATAACAGTAACAGCACTAACAATTGGTGCTTTTTTAAAAGTGTGGGTGAGGAACTTGGAACATTGTCGACTTACTCCCAGAGGCCATCCTTGAAACTTTGTGGCTTCAAGGAACACATTTTAGAAACCATTACTCTTCAAGAACATATATTGTGAAAAACAAGACCAAGATTGAAATGACTGTATTTAAATAAAAATGTATATATATGTTTCTGTTTATATATTTTACAATGAAGAATGGTTAGAAAGATATACATCAAAAGAAAGAAAAAATGAAATAATGTCTTTTCCTGCAACTTTGATGGAACTGGAGGCCATTATCCTAAGTGAAGTAACTCAGAAACGTAAAATCAAATATCACATATTCTCACTTATCCATGGGAGCTAAACTATGGGTACTCATGGTCATACAGAGTGGAACAATAGAGAGTGAAGACTCCAAAGCTGGGAGGGAGGGATGAGAGATGAAAAATTATTTATTGGGCACAATGTACATTATTTGGGTAATGGGTACACTAAAAGCCCAGATATCACCACTATACAATATATCCCCATATAATAAAACTATACTTGTACCTCCCAAATATATTGAAATAAAAAAAAGATATATATCAAAAAGCAAATAGTGCTTATCTTCTGAGTGGTGAGTTTACAGCTAATTTGTATTTTCTTATTATTTATATGCTTTTTTCCTAGATCTTCTACATGAGCATGTATTATTTTCCTAAGAAGGAAAATAACATTATTAATTTTTAAAGTTGGATTTTTCTGTAAAATTAAGTTTTCCATATTCCTTTACTTCAGTTGGTCTTTTAAAGTATTGACAACTCTTTAGGTGCTTGTTCAAATGAAGTAAAATGTCTTTTGTCTGACAAGCAAGGAGATATTGAAATGTAGGTAAGTGGACTCTTAGTACCAAGTTTCTCTACACCCTGATTAAAGACTTTCTTTATGCCAAGTTGTGGGTACCTCACTAAGAAGTACTCTATGCTTTGGTTTCTGTGTCTTTTCATACGCTGTTCAATTTCCAAGAAATGTTCACTCTCCCATTCTTCAAATGGCTAAATCATCCTTAGTCTTCAGATCTCAGGAGAGACCTTTAGAAGTCTCAACTATATTAAATACTCCCAATCATTGTACTGTTTTTCTACTAGCACATAACATGACTTGAATTATATATTTGTTTACTGATTTATTATCTATCTCACCTACAAAACCAAAGCTTCATAAAGGGAAAGACTATGCCTATTATTTGCCAATATATTACATAATGTCCAGCATAATATCTAGCAATTTTCCACAAATATTCACTGACTGAGTGAATGAATCACTAAACATCTGATAAAAGCTGAATTTGGAAACTCATGAAGACACTCTTATTTAAATGGGTTGGCAAGAATCCTATTTTTAATATTGTTTAAATCTCTGAAAACTTCAATAATAGCCCAGAGTCATATTAACTGTGCACATTTTATAATGGCTATTATCAATTGATCCAGTACTCCTAACAGGTACTAGGTCTGAGATACCTACTCCAGGATTACTGATTTTTTAGCACGTATCTTTTAGAGAATAAACATTCTATAACACAGAATGACTATTTGTTACTTCAACATATTCTAAAGGTTCTTCTAGCCCCCAAATTATTTATAACTGAAGCCCATTAAAGAGGGTTAATCTCAACTTACTGATATTTATTACATGTCATCTGTACATATAACATGTGCAGCCACTGAATTTTAAACCCTTTTTGTCAGGAATCTGAACAGTGTGAGCTACTATTGGAGGATAATTTAAATTATAACAGGGCCTCCAACAATGACAAACCAATAGTCTCAGAGGAGCTCTTGCAACTAAATGGAGGGCTTAAAAACACCAAAACAAACATCGTAAGAAAAATAACCATAGAAGGTACCAAATAAGCATAGAGACATAACATTTTAAATACTTCCAAATATTTGGTTTCAAAGCATAAATGGAATATGTGGGCTTTGCACATCTTTTCCTGCCAAGTCCCAGGAAAAACTGACCATACTATGGTCATCTAAAACAGCTGTTAGGACTGATCTTCAAATATTTGGTTTCAAAATACAGACCTATTTGCACTTTAAAACTCAGATGTCTGCATACTCCCACTATAGCACTGCACTGAGATAATCCTTTTAAAGTAGGCTGTTGACAAAAACCGATCTTTATTTATGGGTGAGAACTATTTCAAATGGACACAGCAAAATGTTAGCCTAAATCTTAAAGTCCATTGTCAGAAAAGATAATTTGCTCTGGCACCCAAATAGCTCTTTTTTTCCGCTTTTTGTATAGTCAAGAAGTGAATTCCACTAGTTATTTAAGGTTAAAAAGAGAGAGTAAATGTGAAATGTTACAATTCTAGAAGGAAGGAAAAGAATTTATGTCCACTTCACTTAAAATTGTTGACTTCCTTAAACTAAGTTTAGCATATTTAGCATATTGTACTTGTGGGTACTCAAATATAAACTATCAAATCTGCCTCACTTTGGGTTGCTGGGAAGTCCTAAGCCACAGAAAAGGATTGTCAAATAGAAATAAGTCAAGTGGTTTAAAATAACCTTTCCCACACTCTAGCATAATTATGTTTGTTTTCTAGGACTTGTGTATCAGCATGTATAATCTAGCTGTAGTCCCACATTTCTGATAGTTATCTAACACTATAAGATAACACCCTAGGAGACTGGGATGATAGGGATATACAGAGCATCTTTTGCTCTTTTGAGCAGACATCAATTCTGATTGTTCGACTTCAACTGGTTTGATTCATCTTAACTTTAAGATGGCAGCCACTAAAAAATGCTTATACCTTTATCAACCACACTGTTTTGTTTCCCTTCAAATCTTATCGTTTAAACCTTGTTCCTGAAAGAGGCACTTTAAGAGACAAGTGATGGTACAACTCGGCAAACTACCTATATTTGACATCTTACAAAACAGCAGTTCATCTCCACTGTATTCTTCTGGTAGGTGTTACACAAATGGGAAAAAAAGACTTGAAAATGGTTAAGAAATGTAACCTGGGTCATACAACTGATTAATGGCAGAATTGGGCACTTTTCCCATTTCCCAACTTAGTATTTTTCCCTTGCAAGCAGCTGTAGGGATGCCCCAGACCAATTAAATTCCAGGTAGGTAAGGATACTCTTCCCAACCTTACCTCTTTATGCACCTTCCAACTGTCTACTGTCACATTGAAGAGAGCTTTGAGGGCCTCAATGGCACAGTCTGTCTCCTGAGGTGAGAGAGGAGGTCCATTATGGTCTATGGCCGATTCATACTCATCGGTCCACTTGATGCTAAAGGCACTTTCCAAAATCTGGGTTAGCAGCGGTAGTCCCTGGAGCTCATAGCGCAATTGTGACCTGATGTCAGTGTGCAAAAGTGACAGGAGGAAGAGTAAGCGCAAGTCAAAGCACTTAATGTCATTGATAAATTTTCGGTCCTTGCACTTTCTCAGGAGGTTACAGAGCTTTGCAGCAAGATTAAGTTCCAGGCTGAGCTGCTGTGCCATCTGACTGTTGAACACGATGTTACACAGACATTTTAATGACTCCACAATAACTGGGAACTCTGACACCTTCTCCAAAGAATCATCTGACTCAGTTAGCTTGGCTAGTCGCATAAGTATCTGCATATTTTCCTTAGTTGTTACAGGAACTAAAACCTTTTTGTCTCTGGAGAGAATGCGGAGTACTTCCAGGCAGGACACTTGACATGTTGTTGGCACGTCCTTTACAAGGACTTTAAATATGCCTTCACAGAGTTTCTGAAAAACAAGAAGTATGCAAAAATCATTATTTAGCTCAAACGATTTAAAACAGAATGTTTCTCTACCAATGTATTTAACAACAATTAAGGATCTGGCTAGAAAAGGGTTTTATTTTTTTGTAAATCACAGAATGTTTAGAACCAAAAGAGACCTTATATTTGGTGTACTTCTTTCACTTCATAGATATGGAAATTGAGGGCCGGAGAGGTTAAGTTACTTGCACTGAGGCAGAGTGAATTAGTGGCATAGTTATGGGTTTCCTACTTTCCAGTCCAATATTCTTTCTATAAAATCATTACTCTATTTTAAACTAATTTCAAATATCTTATACAACTTTGCTCTCAATGGCTTTTTAACATCAGACTACACATAGTATCAGAATGGAAGGCAACCAGTCTGAATCATAGCTGTTCCCTTCTCAGAAGTATAGATTAACACCTAGAGAATTAGTTTATATTTGTCCACAGTACAGGCTTTTGCAGAAAAACTTAAAGAAATATGCATTTCTGCTGAGTTTTAGTTGTGTTATTTCTTCTGAATTTACAATTCTATAGTCCCATGTTTCAGAAACCAAAAAACCCTCTTTAGTTAAGATCTAATAGTATTTAATCACCAAGTGACCTCAGAGAAAAACTTACGCCAACATACTAATGAAAATTATTCCAAGTGTTGGGTTCCAAACAGAGTTCAGCTAGCAAATATTATTCCTTGAGCCAACTGCAAAAAGGTGACCCCTCCAGGCAGACTGCTAAAAAGTATTCCCACTGGGTAGACAGTTATTACATAGCCCCTCTTTCTCTGGGTAGCTCTGTGCCAGGACACATAGTTTGGGAAGCTCAGAATGTAGATGGAATTTTAGCTCCCTTTTGTTCTCTTTGTGTAGGATGCAGATTGCATAAATATATGTACCAGTCTTGGTTCCAAATCTTGCTACCAATATCTCAGGAATAATTATTTCAGGATGGACCCAAATGTCTTGTATTTTTTTAAAAGTAATTATTTGTATCATTTCCAAATTTAAGAATCACTGACCATTCCCTCAAACTTCAATGTCAGCTTTCTTTATAAATTGCAGGTCTGGGTCTCTCAAGCTTATCC